CTCCCTGGTTAGTATTAAGATGTTAACTGCAGGCTCAGCCCGGCATCGATCTTTCCCTGCGAGGACTTCTGCAAACTTTGTTGTCTGTGCTTAACTCACTCTGCTCCCAAATGCTGCCACCGTCTTGCTGAGTCCACACAGTGCAGGCCGTGGGGCTCCCCCAACAAGCGGGGACCGTGGTGCCATCAACATCTCACAGTTTGGGGAGGAGCGGGCGTGTATGTGATGCCACGCACTGAGCCAGGCACGCGGTGGGGGTCTCATCAAACAGACTTGTCCTCCCACCGGAAGTCAATCTCCCCTCGAGCTCTGGTGGTACAAGACGCAGGCCGTGGTCAAGTCCACACCAGCGTGGCCCCCAGTGCTCCAAGACACTTTCTCAGGCGAGCCAGAAACCAGGCCAACGGGAATTAACTTCATGCTTCCCTAGGTCCGTCATCCACTCTATTCCCCAGAAGCTGCCAACCAAGCAAACTGGAATATTGATCGCTGCAATCATCTCGATGCAAGTCTGAGGGCCGAGCACTTTATGTGCGTTTCAATTAGAAGGGGAGGCTGGCCGTTCTAATTCTACTTCATTCCAGCCAGCATCACTCTGGGCAACAAATGGGCTCCTAAAAAGTTGAGTTAATCAGCAATCTATTAATGGAATCACACCTCCACATTGATTTTACATTATCGTTGCAGAATGGTGCATATTCATTCTCTGCCCTGAATTTTAAGCACGGGGAAGGAACCAGGAGTTACCACGGCTGTGCCAAGCTCCGGGCGTCACAACTGCCATCGTGCTGAGTGTGCAAAAGTGTGCAGGCGGAGTAACACGGGAGAGAGCCCGACAACCTTCCCAAGGCCCCAGGGAAAGAGAACACGGCTGAGGAAGAGCACGGCCAGCTTCCCCTAGGAGCCCCACTGGTCCCAACAATTCTGAAGCCTTTGCCTCCGATTCGCTCCCTCGATATCCGGCCACATGTGCTCTGGTTGGAAAAGCATCTGGGTCCTTCTAATTCAACTGAGCCCACATCCGTCTACTTCTGCAGTTAGGCTGGGTGTACCCCAGGATTTAGAAATGAGTGAGGAGTGGCTCCCCCAGCCCAGGACAGGGGACCTGGAACCACAGTGACCAAGAGGAGGAGACCTGTTTTGTTCCATACGTCCTTTGTCTGCCTTGATTTCTTTTAATTGCCTTTTTTTTTCAACTTATTTAAACTAAAAAAAATACAAATAAAAAAACAGCTCACCCATTTCTTTTTAATGTTACACCAAACTCATATATCAGGTTGGCCAAAAAGTTCGTTTGGGTTTTTCCATACCATCTTACGGAAAACCCAAACAAAACCTTTGGCCAAATCAACATTTCTACTCTTAAAAATAAGCTTGTTTTTTAATGAAATGAGTGAAAATGGTTTCTTCCTCCTGAGGAGGCTTACAATCAAACAAGGAAAATGAGATCCAAAATCCACAGGAGACATTTTCATTCACCTCAACAACCATCTTTTGGGCCCTTGTGCTATGGAGGCCCTGAGCTCCGCCAGAAAGGTCACGAATGTGGTGACACTCAGCTGTCAGTTCCTCGGAGAGCGAAGGACCCGCTCCACGCTGCCGCCTCGGATCCAGTCCCCTGGCATTTGATTGCATGGGAGGTGGGGGTTGGGGTCACAAGGTGTTAGCAACTTCCCTGCTCGCTCAGTGACTTCCTTGGGGGGTCACGTGGAGAGAAAGCCTACTCGGAATCAGGAAAGCGCATTTCAGCAACTCTGCCCAGAAGAGCTGGGGTGACACCTGTAATCCTCTCATTATCTCACTTAGCTGAAGTCAGTCTGCAGATCACACCACCACTCAGCTTAAAAAAGGCCTTGGAGAGCCGTCGAAGCCTCCCGTTTTCCCAACGAGAAACCAGAGCCACAGCTGGCCTGACGTGCTCAGGGTCTCAGCCGGTACACGCTGACCCACACATGGGCCCCTGAACGCCGGCTCACCGCGCTCTGCCCCCACGGCTCACCTGTCTTGTCCCTGTCCACAGTGATAACTGCACAGAGAAATGAGTCACTCACTCGCCCAGATCATGCCTGTAGGATCACAGCGCTGTTTTCTTAGGAAAAAAAGTAATAACAAAGAAAAGGTGAGGGGAGGGGGAGTGTCTTAAGTAAAAGCTGTCCTTCCTGATGTGATGGATGGAAAGCTTTTCCGCGTGAGATGGAATGGTGGGTGATTACACCAAGGTAATACAATGCTTGTCACCTGTCAGGAGAGCAGATGTCACCACCTTTTGACAGAGGGCATTTGGCAAGAAGAAGTTACAAGGAGAAAGCTTTCCTCCCCTTACTTTCTGGGGGGCAGAATAATAAATCACCTGAATAGTCAAGACCTGCTCAGGGCGGCACGCGTGTTAACAGGCGGAGGTTCCTAAGCCCCCGTGCCGCTGCAGGCATGCACTGCAGCAGCAGGAATCACTGGGCTGTTATTTTGTTTAATTTATTTGGCTGTGCCGGGTCTCGGTTTCGGCACTCGGGTTCTTTAGTTGCGGTGATGTGACCTCCTAGTCACGCCATGTGGGATCTAATTCCCTGACCAGGGACTGAACCCGGGCCCCCTGCAGTGGGAGCGTGGAATCTTTGCCACTGGACCACCAGGGAACTCCCGGTAATCAGCGGGTTTTAAAAGCCTTACACACTCGAGCACAAGTCCCATCCAACACTTAACTACTCTTTCACCAGCACCAACTAACGCCAGTCAGACCCCAGGAAGGTGAACCATGGAGAGTGAGCTAGAGCCCCTCCCAGGAGTCTGTACTAACACCCCAAATTCCAGGGGGGAAATGGCAGGTGCCTGAATACAGAGGATGCTCTGAGCTGGGAGGGCAGAAGGCATCTCAGGAAGAGAGCCCGGGGTATGAGCTACGAGTGAGTCACCGTCCCCAGCTCCCTGTCCTCTCCCGTACCCTCCAACTCCTCTCTACGAACCCGTTTAGACACAGAAACAAAGTGAAAAGCTAGAGAAACAAAAAACTTGTAAATGAACCCCCCAAAAAATTTGTTTTTGGCACAGCATGCAGGGTCTCCCTTCTCCGACCAGGGATGGAACCCGCGCCCCCCCGCTACGGTACAAGTGTGGAGTCTTGACCACTGAACTGCCACAGTTGTTTGTTTTTAATGGGCCATAAGAGCCTCCTGATCCAAAGTGATGAGGAGGAAGGAATGATCAGTTCCGGCAGTGGGTGAGGGAAGGCCGTTCAGCAGAGAGGGAACTTGGGACAGCCCAGGAGGGCAAGGACCTGCCCCATGGGGAACTGGGGGGGCGTGGGCACGTGGCTTGGGCTATGAGGGGTGGTACAGAGAAGGCGAAGACACTGCAGGAAGGAAAGGGGTCTTGCCCCCATGACACTTAGGGCTCACAGGCAGGAGTGGACTGAGACCCCCTGAAGCAACGAGAGAAAGCAATAAGCAAGGGGCGTTTAGTTAAGCAGTACAAGGGGGAGATACTGCTTAACTACCCCCCCCCCAGGCCACCAAGAAAGCCACATAGATACTCGTAGGAGCAGGGGCTGCGGCCGGGAGGAAGGAGGACCTCCTCCCCCCGCCCCGGGAACGGGAGCAGCCGCCAACGCGCCCCGGAGGCCCAGAGGAAATATTATTGCAAGACAAAAACTGAATTATGAAATCCGCAAGCAATAATTAGTTTAAATTACTACTTCTACTTGAATAATTAAACACGCTTATTTTCACTCACTGATGTTTTATTCATTACCATACATCTTTCCTGAAAGTTGTTTTTAACGTGAATATTCTTTTATTTGCAAAGATCCCACAGAGATTTACTATGCTAATTTCAAACCTTTCTTCTAAAATAAAAACAACAATAACAAAAACACTCCAGATTATCATCCATTAGCGACTGCTGTGTGGGGTACATTATCAACTTAAGTCATAGCAACTGGCTGCAAGTACTGTGGGCTGTTGTAAAGTTATTCACACACCAAAGCTTCCTTCCTTTAAAATTCACTGCTGAAAGGACGATATTTAAATAAGCTAGAAATGACTATCAAAATAAAAAGACCCAAGTGCAGCAAGACCATTTAGGCACCAACAGGAAGCGCCTTTTGCTTTTTATCACACCCTCTATTAATGAAAATGATTTTGCGTTTCCACAAATAATGTTTGGATTTTATAAGTCTTATTTTTACACCCCAGAGCTAAGATACCCATAAGCACAGTAATAAAGGCTTAAGGTTTTTATTAAGCAAAGTTACCTTTGGGAATAAGTACTAACTTAAATGTAATCCATGAACCAAGTCTCCCCTGCTGGGCTATTAGCTGGTATTGGCTGGATGGCAAAACTCCAAGTCCGAGCTAATGCCAACAAGCCGGGCCTAAGTCAGACCCTGAACAAACAAAAGGAGCGACAGTGCCATCACTGTCAAAGCCAGCTCCACGAGGTCCTGGGGGCCGGTGGGGGACCACGAAGCCTACTTAATGTGCAGGCATGCAGGCCACTCCACAGAACTGACAACAGCTGGACCCACTGGACTGCTGAGACAAACACCAGGGCATGTGACTCTGCAGTGAAGCGTGTGTGTGTGTGTGTACACACGTGTGCACATGCACACACACACGCCGTTCCACACAACTGACAATGGTCAGACCCACTATACTGCTGAGACAAACACGAGGGCCTGTGACTCTGCAGTGAAGCGTGTGTGTGTGTACACGTGTGCACATGTGCACACACACACACACACACACACACACGCTGTGTTGCTCAAGCACAAGCTTCTCCAGGGGAGCAGCACCTGTCCTGAAATTGGCCGGTCCTCGATGAACATTTGTCAAGTGAAACTGAGTATCAGATTTTTTTTTTAAGGCCCCAACTATATTTCTCTTTCTCCCAACCTCCTATAAGAGCAGTCAGCCATCCATGCCAGGAATGCAACTAGTGTGCCACACCCACTTCCCACGGGGAACATAAAAGTCACCCTGGGAACCTGGCCACCCCCCCAACACTGCCTTTCTTTCCCCTGTGATTTCCCCCCCGTTAAGTAAATTCAGCCAAGGATTTTTCACACGGGTTCCAACTAGTCTTCTGGAGCCATGGGAAAGTGGATTACTCAAATTTAGAAGTTGCCGTATCAAAAATGACCATCTACTGAACAGATTTATGAGCCGTGGCACTAGCTTGGCCTTTGGAAAATGAAGGGGCTCCGGAGGCCACAGGCCGGGGGCTCAGCTGATTCTAGAACTCAACATTATCTGCGTCATCATCGTTATAAGCATCCGGACCGCAGAGCAGAGCTTCTGCTGGGGCTCCTGTTTCCGTGGCAACAGCTTCACTGGCCTGTCACAGAAAGGAGGAAGAAAGAGGAGGGGGGAGAGGCAGGAGGAAGCGGCGGGGCAGAGAGGGGGAAAAGCTAGGAAGAGGGCAGGAGAGGACGGGATGTGGACGAAGGCAGGGGAAAAGTACAGAAAGAGAGGACCAGGGGGGCGAGGCGGGAAGAGGAGACGCGGGGACGCTGTCAGGCCCAACCACCTACAGGTGCGCTGCTGCCTGTATGCAAGAGCCTCCCAGTTCCCCTTGTTAAATGCAACCCATTTCAACTCCCGGATGCTGCCTCAAGACACACTCAATTATCTGATAAACCCCAGGAAAGCTGTGCCGGAAAGTGAACGTGGTAAGAGGTCTAACTCCAAACTCTCAGTAACGTCAACATCCGCCCAGAGGTCTGGCTGGGTTAAATCCAGAAGGGAAAAAAGGGAAGAGAAAAGCAAAGGCCCAGGAGACCTGTTATCACTAACCCGCAACCATTAGGACGCGGCTCCACTGGCGCCTGATAAAGCGAGCAGTTCGCGGAGCCTCATTAACAGGCAAACCTGCTGGTCCTGCTCATGGCTGCACGAGGAGACGGGTCTTGAAAACCAAAATGCGTCCAGCCAGAGCCTGGCTGTAGGGCCCTGACATGGGACGCCAGCCAGGCCTGGAGGTTGGGGGCTTGGGGGGGGGCGGCGGTCCTCAGTACAAGGAGCTCAGAATAAGTGGCCAGGACAAGATTCAGTCCACTCCCTGTCCCCCCCAGCACCTCCACCCCCCAAAAAAACCACAATAATTAGCAAGTAAAAATTACAAGAGCTCTAAATGCAACCTGCGATCCTGGGTTGGGTTGGATCCTAAAATAGAGAAGGACATTAGGGGAAAACTGGTGAAATCTGAACAAAGTCTATAGTTTAGCGAATGGAGTTACACTGATGTTAACATGTTGGTTTTGGCAAACACATCAGGGTTGTATAAGATGCCGGGGAAGCTTGCAGACGGACACCTTGGAACTCTCTGAATTACATGCACGACTCTTCTATAAGTCTAAAATTATTTTTTTTTAAGTTTTAAAAGAAGAACAACACGGGCTGTTTTAAAGTAAGACTCCTGCTTTTCTAACAGTGATTTTATCTTTTTCGTATAAAACCAATGCCCTTGATAGGGTTTAACTATCATAAAGTTTTGCTGGAAGGCTGGCTGAAACACTATGGCAAAAGCTGGGCTCCTGCAACAAAAGTGAATTATTAAACTCGGAACGTGTTAGCAGTGCCGCTGTGCTCTGGAGCTGGGATGCAGGGAGAGACATGCCCCGTGCACGTAGGAGCAAGGGCTCTGATCCGCAGAAACAGAGAGGCTTGCAAGAACCTGCCTTTACAGTCTCTTCACACACCACACTCCTGACTTCCTGCCTCCCAGGTCTTCTCCAGAGAGCCTCGCTCCCCTGGGTCCAACCCCCCAGCCCTGCTGGCAACCCTGCAGTCTGCATGTTCCTCCACGCCTTCCAGCCTTCACAGTCTACTCCCTCTTCCCCAGTGCACTTCCACCTCTTTGCTGCAGAATGACTTCCGCGCATCCTGAGACCCCACGTGACTCTCACAGAAACAGCACCCCCTCCAGGGCCATCCTGTGTGCCCCGGGGGCACCTCCACCTCCACCCACCGAAGCAGTTATGATGGGATGGAAGTACATGTCCACCTGTTCCTTTTTCCCAAAGAGACCGAGCGACTCTCAAGGAAGGGTGAGATGCTGAATTCAGCCCTGTATCCACACTCACCCCTGGCACCCAAGTCTTGCAACAGATGCTCAATGAATGAAAGACTTGGGAGTCAAGAATGAGGGCAACTCTTTTAAAAGAGAAAATACCAGTATACAACCTTCCATATTCTGTGAAAGGGTCAAAAAGATTCTATTTGTGAGATGTGAAAGCATCAAGCCCTTTTAAGAGAAACAGATTTTGTTACAGAATGATGGGTCCATTTCCATAGACAACATGAGCCCGTCGCGAGTATCCTCTTCCAACCGGGAAACTGAAAAGCTTTTCAAAGGTTTCGGTTTCCTTGACAACAGCATTGCTGGAGACAAGCAGGGAAATAATTAAAAAGTATGTTCTCTTCGCTTCGAACTCCTTGAGTGTTTATAAGCAATAATGAACAGGCCAAGCTCGGTGTCCACGGCGTCAGTACGGACGGAGCTGGGGGCACCGGGGGGGCACCCCGTCCTGCCACCCACTCCAGTGGGGCCTCCTCTGAACCCTGGTGAGGACCTGCCCAGGACCACACTTATCCCCAGGAATCACAGCCCACACAGGTCAGACTCGCAACAACTGTGCTCGCCAAGGGCCAGGTCTCAGGTCGCACACTACGGCCTTACAACAGTCCACTGAGTCTTGGCACCACTTGGCAAGAGGGTAACTGAGGTGCAGAAGAGTGAGGGGCAGCCCAGGCGGTTGGCCCAGGGGCCCCGGGAGAGCATGTCAGCTCCTCAGACTGACCCTACACGACTGCCCAGGGCCTCCATTCTAACCCTCCGATCTCACCGTAGGGCAGCCAAGGCCCTGGGGGAAAACGCCTGCCCTAGCACTGCCAGCGTCCAGCCCACATCCCCATGCGGGGCCGCTCGCCGTGGCAACCAGCTCGGGCGGTAAGCCTGGGCAGCCTGTGCCCCCACCCTGGCCGCAAGCACACACAGAGCCCGTCCGGCCCAGCGGCAGCACTCGGCCCTGAGCTTGATTTATGAGCTTCCTTCTCCTTCCAGGGTGGCTTTTCACGGTCTGTTCCGTCTTAACAGCTTCACCGTGTGTGTGTGTCTTTTATTGTAAGCCTCCTCAAATCTTTTCTGGATTTGTGATTTATAAATAAACAACAAATAAACATGCACAGGCTGTGCGTGTCAGCCCGGGCGCATCACCCAAGAGTGGAAACGCAAACATCCCGACGGATGGAGAGCAAGCCTTGCCCTGACTTAGTTTCCAGGTCCGCTCTGGTCCCTGAAGCCCCTTCCCCAGCCCAGCCGCCTCCAACAGGGCGCTTCCTGCACAGATCAGAGGTGCGGAGGGCATCGAGGTGTCTGGACAAGACCACCCCCGAGAGTCTCTGTGCCCCCGAGGTCCAAGGGGCCCACCAGGGTGTGGGACCGAGTAGGTGTTATTCATTCACTCCCAGGTGCTTTTAAAGCACCTACTATGTGTTCAGCCCTCTTCCCAAAGGGGAGATACAACAAAGGAAAAAAATAAATTCCCTGCCATTACGGAATTTATATCAGAGTCTTCTCATTTCACAGAGGAACCAGTTAAGGCTCACAAAGAGAATTTCCTTGGTGGTCCAGTAGTTAAGACTGTGCTTCCAATGTAGGGGGCACAGGTTCGATCCATGATCGGGGAAGTTCAGCATGCTGCAGGGTGTGGCCCAAGAACAAAACAAAACCAAACAAACAAAAGACTCACAAAGATTAAGGGCCTTGCCCCCCTGCGCCCTCCACCCCCATCTCTCTCTCTCACACACACACACACACACACGCACGCACAGGCACACACAACTACTTTCCGGAGTCCCCAAGCAAGCAGCAGACAGGGACCCCCCCCCCCCCAGAACGCAGAAGCAGAAAGAAGGGCCCTGTGCTGAGGAGCTACACGTCTTTCAGTGCCCCTCTCTGCTCCTCAGTCTTCTCATCTGTAAACTGGGCATAAGGATGGGGCTAACAGCAGTGCCAGCCAACATTAGGGAGCGCCGGCTGTATGCTCTTAAAGAGTTTTCTTGTTTTATCATTAGACGACTGAGATGGATGCTATGATTACCCTGCTTTACTGATAGAGAAGCTGGGCTCCCAAGAGTTATATAACTTACCCAAAGCCACACAGTTAGAACGCACGGGGGACAGGGGTGGACACCCCCTACCCCCCACTGCAGTGGGACCTGAGCTTAGCTAATTGCCCTATGACCCAGCTGGGGGTCATTAAGATGCAAAAGCCCAGTGTGGGGCAGACCCAGCCAGCCTCTTGCCACTGACTGTTCAGGCCTAAAGCTCACAAAAGACCCCACCCCCAGCTACCCTCGCTAGGCCCCAACACTGCCCAAACCCATCCTCCCCGCCCCCCACCCCAGCACACCCTTGTCATCCCTCCTCGGGACCGGCTCAAGTGTGTCCTTCCCTGATGCCTGGCTAGTCCTCTGCCCCGACTTCCACAAAGCCACCCGCTCCCCAACACCATCAGTCTGCTGGGCCCCAGGTCCCGTGGGCCCTAGGGCCCGTCACACCATCGGTCTGTTTTGACACCTGACCCCCATGAGCCTTCTTGACAGCAAGGGTGTCTGGTCCCCTCTGAGCCTACAGAGGCAGCATTCAGTCGATGGCTGGACAGACGCCCAGCCGAAGAATGCACTGGGGGAAGCAGGTTTCCCAATAGGGACCCGGAGGGGCCACTCACGGACTCTGACACCCAGGCCCCCTCTAGGGCCCTCGCTGCTCACACCGCTGACAGAGCCCCAAACAAGGCCTGAGCAACCGCCCCCCCAGGCACGCAGCAGAGAGTCCAGAAGACCTGGCTCGCAGGACGCGCCGCCCCCGGGTCGACACCCCAACTACGAGCGGCCGACGTCACGCTGCTGAGCCGGAAAATAGGCAGGCACGTCCCGGGCGGCCCAGGTGCCCGGAGCGGCCTGCTGGCGTCGGTGGGCGCACGCCGGATTATTTGTTCAGCGAATCAAGGCAACCGGAGGCAAATTGGATTGCAAGCCTCCCGTGCTTAGGAACGCGGCTTAGGAGGCAATTACAGAATAAACCCGGGCTTGGAGTCCTTGATAATACCTTCCATTTGTAAGGGTTTAGAGTTTACAAAGTGGTTTCACACGTCCAACCTCATCTGATCCTCACAGCCTTGTGAGGTAATTATTTCACAGATGAGAACACGGAAGCCCCGACGAGTCCGCGGAGGACACGCGGCCTCGTTCGGAACCAGAACTGGCGCGGGGGTCCAGGGGCGCCGCAGGTCGGAACCAAGCCAGGCGCCCGCCGTCCAAGAAAGGGGCCTCGGAGCCCCGGCGCAGCCTGCAGCGGCCTCCCCGCCCACTGGTGGTGCGGGCTCCAGCCTGCTCCGAACCCTCCCGTCCTCAGCGCCCCCCAGAGGAAGCCGCGCCCGTGGCGACCTGCCTCACCTGTGCTGAGCGGCCCCTGCGATGCCCCCGAGCAGACATCTCCTTCCTCTCCCCGCCGCGGCCCCTGCCAGCGCCGAAGGGCAGCCCCGCGCGTCCCGCCCGGCCCCCTCCGCCCGGCTCGGAGCATCAGGACATTTTCAGAACATACTTGAAATGAGAGCCAAAGAACAGGAAGAGAGATGGGGGACAGAAACAAACAACTTTCCTACCCGAAGGTGACAATGAAAATGAGTTCTAATTTGTGTTTTTGTGCCTTTCAAAATAACACCAGCTAGTTCAGAAAAGAGACCACTTCTGTTTATAAAAGCTCTTGAGTTTTCCCTCTGGTTGCCGGGGCTTGTGTAAATACACTGCGAGCAGGGAGAGAAAAATTGCTACTTGGGAAACTTTTAATGTTAGCATGTATGCGAATCAGAATCCTAGACTCAGCAGGTTAAAAATGTTCTCAAAGCAATTTTGGTGTTAGTCTAAATAATTATAGATCACATTCACTTAGATAAGGGCCTTTGCCCCCTCGGGGCTCCAAAGGAAAATTCTAGGCATGATAGTTAAGCAAAATAGTTGGTTATTACGCAGGCTTTGCAGTGGCAGTGCAAATTGGTATAATCCTTTTGGAAAGCAATCTGACAGGAGATGTATCTGGACTCATGGAAATGTACAACCCTTTGACCCAGCAGTCCCATTTATGGGAATCAATCCGAAAGAAATAATCCGACAGAAAAGGTTCCATGCATGAAGATAACCACTTCAGCATTAGCTATAATAGCAAAAATTAGCAACCACCTAAGTGTCCGAGGACAGCTAAGTAAATTACAGTTAATCAACTCGATAGAGCATCACGGAACCCGCGGAAATTGACGGCCCTCCAAAGACGCGGAGGCGGCCGGTGGCGCTGCGGCGGGAGAGGCTGGGAGAGAATGTTAAGTGGGAAAGCAGGCTGCGGAACTGTGCGCGCGCCCTGTGAAACCCACAGGCCCAGGCGGGCCACAAGTTGACAGGAGGGTGTTAAAAGGATAATCATACTCTTAGCCTAGGTTGGCACTGGGAGGCTTTTCCCCATCGTCGTGTAATGCTGTCGCATCATCTTCGTCAAGGGCAGAACAGAGCGGCGGGGAGGAGGGGGAAGGGGACCGAGAGAGGTTGGGACCCTGGAGGGGCGCACTGGGGTCACACGGTTTGGAAAGCCGACCACGCAGTGTGGAGGCAGTGGCGGAGCCTGGGCTGTCCTGCACGCACACATCCGAGCCGGGAGGCAACACTGTCTTTAACAATATGGACAGCCCCCCCCTCCCGCCCCCCGCCGAAATTATAGATGTGAATGAAAAGGCAGCTCTCAAACCCTTCGGCCCCTTTGTCTCTCTCTAAAGTCAGGGACCTATGGGGTCGCAGAGAGTCGGACACCACCGAGCAACTGAACTGAAAGTCAGGGAAGGCTCCAAAGAGCTGCTGTTTACACGTGGTTTACCCCTCCACATTTAGCATATTAAAGATCATAACAAGGACATAGAAAAATACTTATTAATTTATGTAAAAGGAACAATAATAAAGCTGTTACATGTTAACATAGATAACATATTTCTTATGAAAAATAACTGTCTTCCAAGATAAAAAATAAACGAGTGAGCAAGCACTGTTTACATTTTTGCTATCTCGTTAATGGCTGGCTTAATACAAGACAGCTGTGTTCTCATAACTGCTTCTGTATTTAATCAATTGCAACAGCACACATATCATAGCCCCTGGAAAACTCCACGTACACTCACGAGAGAACGAGAGTGAAAAGGCAAGGAACTTCTAGGTGTTATTATGAAAATAATTTTCACCTCGTAGAGCCCATGAGAGGGTCTCAAGGATCCCCAGGGGTTTGCAGACACTGACCACCACTGCAATAAACGACACTATTAAAAAGTGCTATCATGGGGGGTGGGGGGATTTAAAATTATACCTACAGTTGGAATTCAACAGGGTTGAT